AGGGGCTCCCAGCCCAGATTAGGAATAAGAAAGCCCAGGCAACAGGGGGGGTGGGCAGAAGAGGCCCATCAGGAAAGTTGGGGGGTGGAATCCAGCAAGTGGAGCTTTGAGTGTGCCGTGGCTGTAGGTAAAGCACGAAAGGAGAAGACCCTGTCCTGAGGGACTGGTGACGTTCTTCTGCCTTCCCAGGTCAGCATGGTGGCTTCGGCAGCCCGGGCGGTGGTGGCATGGGCAGTGGCCGAGGACGGAGAGACAATGAGCTCATTGGCCAGACTGTCCGCATCTCCCAGGGGCCCTACAAAGGTGAGTTCCAATCTTGGGTGGGGGTCTGGGGGCTGTGTGCAGTGAGGTCCCCGCCCACCTGACCCCCCACCTCCTTCCCCCCAGGCTACATTGGTGTGGTGAAGGATGCCACGGAGTCCACGGCCCGCGTGGAGCTGCATTCTACCTGCCAGACCATTTCTGTGGACCGCCAGCGGCTCACCACAGTGTACGCGTGGCAGGGTGGTGAGGGGGTGTGGGCAATGTGGGGTGGGGGGCAGACGGCCCTATGCACCCACCTGCCTGATCTCCCTGTGCCCACAGGGACTCGTGGCGTCCAGGAGGGATGGCCTCGTCCTATGGGCGGACGCCCATGTACGGCTCCCAGACGCCCATGTATGGCTCTGGCTCCCGCACGCCCATGTACGGCTCCCAGACCCCTCTGCAGGACGGTGAGAACTCCACGGAGGAGCTTCCCAGAGACAGGGAGGAGGGACGGCGGGGGATCAGATGGGTAGGACTGCGCGACTGCCATGCCTGTCTCCCCTTCCAGGCAGCCGCACCCCACATTACGGCTCACAGACACCGCTGCATGATGGCAGCCGCACCCCTGCCCAGAGTGGAGCCTGGGACCCCAACAACCCCAACACGCCATCAAGGTAAGGCTCCGAGGCAGGGCTGTGTACATGGCAATGCTGGGCCACTTGGGGGCACAAAGCACCCCAAGGCCGGGCGTGAGAGTGCCAGCCACAGCCAGCAGCTGTGGAGTGCCGCCGTGGCAGAGCCGCCTCTCCTCTAGCTGACCCCCCCTCCCTGCTCCCCAAATCAGGTTCCCTCCATTGGGGGGGCCTGCTGTGGAGTGCTATTCTGGAAGCATCGCCACATTGCTGTTATTTATTACTAGTCATCCTCAACAGACTTGTGTCCCCCAACAGGGCTGAGGAGGAGTACGAGTATGCCTTTGACGATGAGCCTACCCCATCCCCCCAGGCCTACGGGGGAACCCCCAACCCCCAGACTCCCGGCTACCCAGATCCTTCATCACCTCAGGTCAACCCTCAGTATAACCCCCAGACACCAGGGACGCCAGCCATGTGAGTCCACCAGGCCAGGCCTGGCCAGCCCTGCCCACTCCTCCATACTGCCCTTCCTCACCCTTCCCTGCTGCAACACCTGCTCGTGTGTCTGTAGGTACAACACGGACCAGTTCTCCCCCTACGCTGCCCCCTCCCCACAAGGCTCCTACCAGCCCAGCCCCAGTCCCCAGAGCTACCACCAGGTGGCGCCAAGCCCTGCAGGCTACCAGAACACCCACTCTCCTGCCAGCTACCACCCAACGCCCTCACCCATGGCTTATCAGGTATGCACATTCTGCTTGCCCTGAGGGCCTCACCCAGAGGGATGGTCAGGTCAGCCACTGTGCCCACAGCTCATCTCCCTGTCTCCCCGCAGGCAAGCCCCAGTCCGAGCCCGGTAGGCTACAGCCCCATGACACCTGGGGCACCCTCCCCTGGTGGCTACAACCCTCACACACCAGGCTCAGGCATTGAGCAGAACTCCAGCGACTGGGTAACCACTGATATCCAGGTGAAGGTGCGAGACACCTATTTGGACACACAGGTGGTAGGGCAGACCGGTGTCATCCGCAGTGTCACGGTACGTGAAACCTGGGGGTTGGGTAGGCTGGGCTGGAGCCCCCATCTCTGTGGTTCTTTACGCACACACACAACACACACGCACACACACACACACACACACACACACACACACACACACGCAATTGTGAATGACCGGGGTTTCAATTCAGGATGTCCTGCTTGCTCACTAGACGCATACTTTTTGTTTTCCCCCAGTCCTAGGGCGTGACCTCGGGTGTGGGCACTGTCCCTAAGCTTCTTTGTGCTCAAGGCTAGCCTCCCTCAAGGCGAGCACTCTACCACTTGAGCCACAGCACCACTTCCGGCTTTCTGTGTTTCTGTGGTACTGAGGAATTGAACCAAAGGCTTCATACATGCTGTACCACCTTCCAGCCCTAGACACGTACTCTTGCTGATTCTCACCTCCATCCCTGTCACTTTGAGAGAAGGTGCAGGCCTGGACCACTCACTCTCTACCTCCCTTAGGCCTGTTGTCATAGCTAGGATGTCCAGATACAAGCCCAGCTTCTTCTAGTGATATGGCGTCTCATGGACTTTTCTACCTGGGCTGGCCATTGGAACCACAATCCTCCTTATCTCACCTTCCAAAAAAGCTGAGATGACCACTGGGCATCACTGTGCCCAGCTATTGATTGGGAAGGAGTCTTAAGGACTTTCCTGCCTGGACTGGCTTGGAATCACGATCCTCCTGTTTTTACTGTCCCAAGAAGCTAGAGTGATAGGCATGCACCATACGTACCTGGCTTTTCTTTTTTCCTGGTCCCGGGGCTTGAACTCTGGGTGTGAGTGCTGTCCCTGGGTTTCTTTTACTCCAGGTAAGTGCTATACCATTTGAGCCACATTGCCACTTCGGGTTTTTTGAGTAGTTTATTGGAAGTAAGATTCTTACCAACTTGCCTGCCTGGGCTGGCTTCAAACCACGATTCTCAGATCTTAGCCTCCTGAGCAGCTAGGATAACATGTATAACCACTAATGCCTTTTCTTTTTTCTTTTTCTTTTTTTTCTTTTTTTGCCAGTCTAGGGGCTTGAACTCAGGGCCTGGGCACTGTCCCTGAGCTTCTTTTGCTCAAGGCTAGCATTCTACCACTTGAGCCACAGCACTATACTTCCAGCTTTTTCTGTTTATGTGGTGGTACTGAGGAATGGAACCCAGGGCTTCATGCATGCTAGGCAAGCACTCCACTACTAAGCCACCTTCCCAGCCCTTTTCTTTCTTTTTTAAACTTTGTCTTTATTATCCAGTGCTCATCCATCAGTGAACATAGACTCAGAACAATTTGGGGTGGGTCTGCCTGCTGTGATCCTGGTTGAAGCCCATGGCCCACAGGAGTGTGGTTATCTTGTGTCACTCATGGTCTTTTGAGACAGCATTCCTAGTGACCCCTCTGTGCCTGGCTCTCCTGTTTCTGGGCTTTTACACGTACTTGTCCCTGTCTTCTTTCCATTCTGTATAGGTTAATGCCCACTCAGCCTTTGGGAAAGCACCTCTCCTCTTTCAGCCTGTGTCTTGCATGTTTGTAATTCTTGTTATTGACATGCTGCCTATGCATGTCAATGCTTAGAGTGCCTGGTGGCACTCTGATTACAGAATTAGTGTTTTGGGCTGGGGATGTAGCTTAGCAGGAGAGCACATGCTTACTATAGGTTTCATCCTCACAACTACTACCACACAGCCACAGTAAAGTCCTCAAGAACCCTACTTCAGCTGGGTGCTGATGGTTCATGCCTGTGATCCTAGCTGCTCAGGAGGCTGAGTTCTGAGAGGATCACAGTTCAGAACCAGTCTGGGTAGAAAAAGAAACCTGCCAGCTACTCTGGCAGGGCTGAGGGGAAAGATGGGTAAGAGGGACCCTCAGAAGGCTGAGTGATAGGCCTTGGACCTGGAAGGTTATGGGTAAGAGACATGGCCAAGACAAAATCTAGAGCTTGTCTGGGAACTGTGGGGCTGTCCTCAGGGAGCTAAGGCCCAGGAGGAGCTCGTGGAGAGGAACTGAGGCCAGTTTGGGACAGGAAGAGTCCATGGCCTGAGAAGCTGCATTTTGGCTTCTTTCCAGCCCACACCAGCACTCGTGGGCCTCAGTGCCCGTCCTGGTCTGCTTCTGTGTCACCTTGGGAGTGAGCATGCATAATGAGCCCACAGCCTGTGTCCCTGTGAGGGCGGCATCAGGACAGGCTGACCCAGGTGCCTCTGCTCCCCAGGGTGGCATGTGCTCTGTGTACCTGAAGGACAGCGAGAAGGTCGTCAGCATCTCCAGTGAGCACCTGGAGCCCATCACCCCCACCAAGAACAACAAGGTAGGGGCTAGGCCAAGGCCAGTGAGAGACGGGGGTGCAGGCTGCTGGCACAGCCTAATCGCATGCCCACTGCTCTCAGGTGAAGGTGATCCTCGGTGAGGACCGTGAAGCCACGGGAGTCCTGCTGAGCATTGATGGTGAGGACGGCATCGTCCGCATGGACCTTGACGAGCAGCTCAAAATCCTCAACCTCCGCTTCCTGGGGAAGCTCCTGGAAGCCTGAGGCAGGCAGGGAGGTGGATGGTGGCAGATTTAGAGTGGCCCACCCTCCTTGACCCTGACCCTGACCGCACCCAGAATCCTGGGTCTGGAGCAGGCTATGTTGATCGTTGATCATCCCGAATTTCCTTTAGTTTTCCTTTTTGGGGTCCCCTCTTCTCCCTCCCCAATGCTCATAGGAAACAGAGGAGAGCCTGGGGAAGGGTCCCTACCCTCAGCTTACTTTTGTGTTACAATCTTTCAATAAAGAGAAGCTGTTTGGTCAGAAGTCCTCTGTGTGTGTGTGTCTGTCTGTGTACCTGGGTGTTAATGGTTTGGGGCAGATAACTGGGTCCTACCTAAGCCTCAGTGTCACCACTTAGAAAAGAAAGCTAGTGTGTGCCCCAAGAGGGCTCTCGGAGCCCGGTTAGCACCTTCCAGGGTCAGCCAGAACAGTCCTAGGAGAACACGCCTAGAACGACGGGCCAAAGATTTTTGTACCTCTCCGGCTTCCGTCCAACAGTTCCCTTTTAGCGTTCGTATTGGTCGCGGACCGGGCGTGGGGCGGGTATAGGGGGGAAGTGGGCGTGGCCGCGTTGCGTCAGCGCAAGATGGCGGCCTCGGCAGCGCTGTTCTCGCGCCTGCGGAGCGGAGTCCGGCTCGGCGCGCGGGGTCTGTGCGCGAGGCTGGCGCCGCCGCCTCCCCGGAGCCCGGAGCAGGTGAGCGGAGGTGGAGGTGGGGCTCCCCAGGAACGGGGCCCCTCGGAGGCTTCAGGCGAGGAGCCGCCGCCTGCTGTCTCCGGGACGCCGCACATCGGGACGCTGGATGGAATGCCGCCCGCGCTTTCGGGGTGCTCGTCCGTCCCACCCCGGCCTGGATCCGGGCGGCGCCCGTGCATCCTCTGGGTCCCACCTTCCACCCACGTGGGCCCCTCGGGAGGTCACCGATTTCCTGTTCCCGTGACCCCCGTGGGTGATGGTCGAGGGGAACCGGGGAATGGGGGACCCCGGGACGTTGGGGTCCCCGCCAGAGCTCCAGGCCTCCTTGGCCCTCGTGTCGTGGGGGGCCAGTCCGCTGTCCGGGCTTCGATTGGTTGCCTCGCGGCCATTGCGACCTCCGAGGCCATCACTTCCGTGCCCCGAGCGCCCGACCCGTCCCCGCCCTCCTCGCCCTTCCCCTCCGTACCCCGGGGCCTCCCGGGGGTCCGGATGTCGGCGCCCTCGTCCTGTCCCGTGTGTCCTCTGATCCCCGGGTTCAAGCATCCTGAGGACTGGCACCCCTACGCTCCCTTCCTGCATCCAAACCCTCCACGTCCTGTTTCCTCCCGGATCCCAGATCATCGAGCCTGTCAGCGCCGGAACCCCTGTGGTCCCCAGGCTGGACAGTTTTTAGTTTTGACCTTCTGAGAGGACCAGCCTTTCATCTGCTCCTCCTTTTTGATTGATTGATTGATTGCCAGTCCTGGGGCTTGAACTTGGGGCCTGGGCCCTTGTCCCTTAGCTTTTTCCTTCAAGGTTGGCACTGGACTGCTTGAGCCACATCTCCACTTCTGTTTTTTTTGGGGGTTTTTTTGGTGGTTAATTGAAGATAAGAAATTCACAGACTTTTGTGCCTAGGCTGGCTTTGATCCATGATCCTCAGATTTCAGCCTCCTGAGTACTAGAATTACAGGCCCGTGAGCCACCAGAGTCCAATCCTCCTTTAGTTTTCTTTTCTTTCCCCCGCCCCTCCTCCCCTGCTAGCACTCTACCAACTTAGCCACGTCTTCAATACCACTCCTTTAGTTTTAACCTTCTGAGAGGATCATCCTTTCAGCTGTCCGTCCATGAACACAGCACTCAGGGACTCTGTGGTGTGTCTTGGTTTCTGACTCATGATCTTAATTCTACTTGAACTAGAGTAGAGGTCAGACTATTCTGACCTTTTTCTCTCCTCTCTTGGCTGACTTCCCTGTCTCCACCTCAGGTTGCAGAGATCGGCGGCCGAGGGGGCACGAAGACTCAGGGGCCACAGCAGCAGCAGCAAGGCTCAGAAGGTCCTAGCTATGCCAAAAAAGTTGCACTCTGGCTTGCTGGTTTGCTTGGGGCTGGTGGAACCGTCTGTGTCGTCTATATTTTCGGTGAGGGACTTAACCCTGACCTCCCCCACCTGCCCCTTTTTCATCTTCTTCCCTGGGCCTCTCCCTCAGAAGAGCTCATAACCAGACACCTACTTGGAAACTTGAGAAGCCTCCTGCTTAAGGTTCTTGTACCAGGTTACAAAGAGCCAGTGGAAAGAAGGGAAAATGGGAAAGGATAGGTCTGGACCAGTCTCCTAAGCTCCATCTTCCCTCAGCATCCAAATGTCTAACCCTCCTCTCATCCCTGACAGACCTAGCCTTAGCTCCATTGCTTCCAGATCCCATCCTCCTTCAGGAGGCTGTGACTCTAGTTCACTTCCTTCAGGCCCAGAAGTCCTCTTCTGCTTTCAAGACCCAACACACTGGGGCCCCAATTTCTCTCATTCACCTGTGTTTTCCTTCCTTGCAGGAAACAATCCTGTGGATGAAACCGGTGCCAAGGTGAGAGCAAAGAGACCCTCGAGGCCTTACTGGGAGTCTGTCCTGTGGGTGTCTGGGTGGTGGCCTTTCATCTGTCCAGGCTCCTTTCTGCAGTGAGCCTCTCCCTCCCTCCTAGGACCTCTGTCGGCTCCTCTCAGGAGCCTGGAGATCCTTTTGTGGGTACCATAGGGTCCTGCCTCTGCCTTCCCAAACCTCTCATTTTTCTTTCTGCCTCCCAGATACCTGATGAGTTTGACAATGGTGAGTAAAACAAACCCAGATTTTGGGGGTCTCCCTTGCCTCTCAACTCTGCTTTTTGCAGGGACCTTACCCTTCCCATCTGGTGCCCCCACTTCTTCTTGCTTCCATAGCCAGCAGCTGGATGGCTTGGGGGAGAGGCATTACAAAGCCTCAGCCCCTCTCCCTGGCCCCTCAGCTCCAGAGCAGATGGTCAGGGACCGATGGGGGAGGGGGGTGCTGGTGGGAGGGCCAGGAGCCTGGCCCCAGCCACATGGCTTCTTGTGCCTTAGATCTCAGTGTCCACAGCCCTTAACCACCACCATCACCCCCTTATGACAGGCTTTTTCCCCCTCTCCCTTCCCCCCAAATCCAGCTCATTTCCAGAACAATGCTCCCTTCCTCCCTTTCCCTCTGGGGTAGCCAGCATTTGGTGGGGAGCTTCTGACACATTGCATAGTTGAGAGTAGTTGCCAATTGTGTCCCAGCTGACCCTTCCCTGGGGGAGAGTGAAATTGGAGGGTCCAGGAAGCCACCTGCTTATGCTGGGGAACTTGGCAGGCAGGCGTGTTAATACGCTAATTGTTTTCCACTGGCAGGTGGGTAAGATGCCCTTTGAACTGCACAGATGTGCCCTCAGAATGGCTTAAAGAATTGATTTGCACATGATTTAAGTTGGGCGTGCTTAGGGTATATGTTTATTAATTTCACAGGTTACAGTATTGTAATTTTCCTTTTTTTTTTTTTCCTTATCATGGGGCTTCAACTCAGAGCCTGGGCGCTGTCCTGAGCTCTTGTGCTGAAGGCTAGCGCTTTATCACTTTGAGCCTCAGCTCCACTTCTGCCTTCTTGGTGATTAATTGGTAAATTGGAAATAAGAATCTCATGGACTTTCCTGCCCAGGCTGGCTTTGAACTGTGATCCTCAGATCTCAGTCTCTTGAGTAGTTACAATGACAGGCGTGAGCCAGCAGTGCCCAGCAACATTCAATGTTTTACTTGGCATGGGGTGTGGGTATGAGTGTTCAGGCTAAAAGTGAGTAGGCAAATAAGGACTTTTCCTTCTACCTGGTGTTATTCATTGCCTCTGCTTTTGGACATAGAAATGGGTTGGTTGGAGCATGGTGTGTACACAGACTCATTTTGTGTCTGTGGCTCGTCAAACCCTTGCCTGTCTCTGTCTGCCTGGTGTCCTTCTAGATCCCATTCTGGTACAGCAGTTGCGGAGGACGTACAAATATTTTAAAGATTATAGACAGGTAAGCTGGGGCCTGGGCCAGCGCCCTCCTCACCCCCCCCCCCATCCTCAGTGCCAGTATCTCTCTGAGCACCCTGCCCTGCCCTGTCCTATCCTACAGATGATCATTGAACCCACCAGCCCCTGCCTTCTCCCAGACCCTCTGCGAGAGCCGTACTACCAACCACCCTACACACTCGTCCTGGAGCTCACGGGAGTCCTCTTACACCCCGAGTGGTCGGTGTGTCCTAGCAGGGGAGCTGGGGATGGGGGTTGGGGAAAGGGCAGCAGGTTGCTCAGGGCCTGGCTGCTGGGTCCCCTCAGCACCCATTCTGTAGGGTGGTTGTGGGGTGCATTGGGCACAGAGTCAGCTCATCAGTGCCCACACTTGTTCCAGGCCCTCAGACACAGCCTGTGTGCTCCTGGCCCCCCTAGAGCAGAGACACCTGGTTCTGGGCGCCCTCGGGCTGGGTGGTAAGCATCTTGGGGACCTCCTGCCAGTGTGTCTCACTGTCTTCCTGTGTCCACAGCTAGCCACTGGCTGGAGGTTTAAGAAGCGCCCCGGCATTGAGACCCTGTTCCAGCAGCTCGCCCCTCTCTATGAGATTGTCATCTTCACGTCCGAGACTGGCATGGTGAGGTTTGGGGTGCAGGAGGCTCCGTCAGTGTGGAAGGATGGGTGAGATCCAAGGGCTGGGGTGTAGCCTGTCCCTCCCTGTCCCCCCAGACGGCCTTCCCGCTCATTGATAGCGTGGATCCCCACGGCTTCATCTCCTACCGCCTCTTCCGAGACGCCACAAGATACATGGACGGACACCATGTCAAGGTGCTGTGCAGGATGGATTTGTGGGGACCATGCGGGTCTTCACCTGTCTTCTCCAGAATCTAGGGACATAGGGAGAAATGGGGGCTCCTTAGAAAAGACGGCTGGGTGAAGGTCTGTGTAAGGGCTTGGCCTGCCCAAGCCTGGCCCCGGCTTTCTTGGTGTGCAGGGGTTGGGGGGGGATGGTCTGTGTCTTGTTAGGTCTGGGGTCTGCATTGTTTGTTTGTTTGTTTTTTTGGGTCCGGTCATGGGGCCTGAACTCTGGGCCTGGGCGCTGTCCCTCAGCTCTTCAGCTCAAGGCTAGCACT